TTTACAGTCTTTAGATCTTGGACAATAGAAATCGATTTACAAGACTTTGTGATTTTGTCGATATTTTCGACAATTGGTCATCTAGTGCACGTGCGGGTTTGCCTTGGAAATTACCCGAATGAATTGACAAAATCAAAATTGGGCGTGATTAGCTGTTACTGTATCAACACCATTTATATTGTCAGCCGCCTGGCTTGCGTTTTTGCCTTTATAGAACAAAAAGTGTAAAATATAGTGTATTTTTTCTTTATTCATTTTTGCCGCGCGTTTAAGCAAAAATGAGTCAATCAATTATAAAACTGTCAAAGACGTTTTTTTAGTACCAAATCTCATCTTGCTAACGCCGTTTAGTAGAACTCAATCGGAATATACAACGCGAGATACAGATAAAGCCAACTATTGAAAAAATAATGGCTTTTATTTTACTTCATCTACTATCTGCAATACTAAATATTTTTTTGCTGAATTTATACCATTGAAAGAAGTCATTGACGGAAAAGGATTATCGTACACAGAATATAATGAACACAATTTTATTCTGTATATATAAAATACAAAATTTCATTATTTTGGGACATTTTATAACTAGAAGGACATAAAATTGGCTGTGAGACGAGAAAGCGACTGCTTCTTTCGACCCAAATCTTCGCAAACACAAGCAAATCTGTCGGATATGTCAAAATCTCGGATTCACTCCGAGGGGGGAGTTGTATTAAAGAGATACGCAGTGAGCTACCCATATCTAAAATGTACAATGCAAACGACTTAAAGAATACAGTTTTGATTGTTGTTGAAATATAAATAAAAAAGTTTACAAATTTGATAATCCAATAAAGGTTCGAAACCAATAGAATTTTTGGTTTTGCAAATAACAAACAAAGAAGATTGTTTTAATTCGGGAGGTCATCTGATAAATACTTAATAAATCTTCCCTCGACGAGTTAAGATGATAGATGTAATGAAGGTGATATCCAATTTAGCATTTACGATTTTTTCTCATATGCCCCATATGCTCGCGATCATTTGTATCGCGCCAAATTCACATGCCCTCCGTACACATCAGAGCTCGCAACACCGGAAGCGATCAGATAATCTGTAGTAAATAATCTTTCACGGCAATTTATATAAAACAACATACATATATCCAATCGACTGGCACGCACTGTCTGGAGGCCCATATGGCCCGAATTAATCGATTATCCTTATAATTTATGACCGTGGGGCCTAGACGTGTTATTATAGCAGAGATGGTCAACGATATGCGGTCAACATATGTCGCTGTTGTACTGGAGCCATTTTGTAATTTACGTTTAAGTATAAGTGTTACAATTTGGTCAATGAGCTTAAACGAATGAACTGTATTAAAATTTTACTCATTGCCTAATTATAGTATTCTGCCTTTAAGAAAACCCGCAGGAACATTTCGTTATGTATACTAGTGGTACATGGCATCGTGCATTGAGGCAAATTGTTAGGACTTACTGTACCGGAAAGTATTTTTTAATTTTCCGAAAAGAAGTTTGTTTTCATAAAAAAATCCGATTCGCTAATTTTATGTTTTCTCGACGTTTCAAGCCATTCTGAACAGATTTTTTGCAGTAAATCAACGTTTTCTGAAAAACGGCCGCACCGATTTTAAAAATTTAAAAGCCTTTTAAATTTTTTTTGAACATGAAAATTTTGAACTTTTTAACTTCCCGAAGGAGAAAGTTTATGTTTCCATAAACAAATCCATTCTGAATCGAATGAGACCAAATTTGGAAGAAGTATGTGTGTGTGTGTGAACAGATTTTTTGACATAAATCGACGTTTAGATTTAGGTGAAAATCCACCGAGTCGTTTTTTTGTAATTAAAGGTTGAAAAAAAAATTTAAGCCGATTTTTATGGAACTTTTTTGGCGATATATATCATGATCTTATACAACTTCCTGAAATATTACGGCCTTACGACAAGTAGTTTAATTTTAAAAATTTATCAAAGTTTAAGAAAATAAGTAGTTTTTTTTGTTAAAATTAAAATTAGACGATTTACTTGGTATAACGATAGAGTACTTGGTCTTAATGAACATACTAAACCATTAAAGTTCTACGGAAGCTGGTTCAATTATAAGAATTATTCAGTTTTAAAAATTTGCTTTTAGAAAATACTCAGAGTTAACGTGTTTCTTCGCTTGCAATTATGTGTAATTAATCCACTCGGAATACTTCTATTAACTCATAAATTAATTTATTTTTTATTGATTAAATCAATTATTTACACATATCGGAAACTTCATGTAACTTGCCTCAAGGCAAAATACCAATACCAACTAGTTTTAAAAGCAATCGCGCTGCGTAGCTATTTTACAGACAAAATATCGAAACGTAAACAAATGAAAATGCAAACAAAATTTGTGCTTATTATTAAAATCTCTATAAAATATCTAATAATATGCTGTGCATACGTTTAATGATTATTTTTGACTGCCAAATATATTTTTTTCTAACTCTAGCCATATATATACACACATTTTTTTAAAGTATGCCAAAATGTTCAAAAACCTTCAGAACGTAAGATTAATTAAAAAGTAATGTCAAAACACATATAATGCTGAAAATAACTAGTTGAAAGTGTCATTTTTCTCTGAGGCAAGTTGCATGAACTTCCCGTAATGTTTGATAACTGACTTAATGAACCGAAATTGAGATTTAGAAATTTAGATAAAATTTTCAATTGATTAGTCCGAAAACAAGTCTATACGATTCCCAACCAATATCTTTTGAACAGTTTTTGAACTTTTAAAATTGATTCAGAATTATGGGCTAAAAAGTTGAAATTTTTTTCGTCGCGCAAAGCTATTAAACGCTAGCACTCATTGAGTTACATCAAATGGCTTTTAAATTTTTAAAGTCGGTTCAGCCGTTTTTGACAAAACGTCGACGAAAGATAAAAAATTGGCTCACATATGGTAAAAGTAATGTGTATGTGTATACATACACATTACTTTTACCAAATTTAACCTTATTCGAAATCGAATGTTAATGTAAAGCTTGGCGATGTTAATATCTAATAATAAATAAAATAAATAATAAATAATTACTATCGACGTATGAAAGCTATTCATGACCTTTAATCGTTAATCGTCACGAACGAACAATACAGTGCTATACACTTGATATATATTTCTGTTCCTGATAAATTTTAATTGTCTAATAAAGAGTACTCTATCTAACGGTTCTTTTTACAACATTTCAATCGTGTAAAGTTTAAAAAAAATATTTTTGATTTTGGTAATTTTACACCATTGTACTACTGGTTGCGTTAATTGCGGCGTCTATTACGCGTACTATTTGATTTAAAAAAATTACAATTTATCAAATATCCTGTGAAATCTTTAACATCATATTTTCATGGATTCGAATAATTCGATGATCTCTTCTCTTTCACCATCCACCTCCATACATACATATGCATTTGGTTCGCAATCGACTTCCATATATTCATCTGGATCGTAATCAACGTCCATGGCTTCTATGTGATCATGATCTAAATCCTCATAAGTTCTGTGGTCTGGATTTGCGGCATTCATTTTCTGGCGTCTGAATCGAATCAATCTCATCGCTTTCATGACTGATTCTGAATTTATTATTGGGTTTCGATTAACAGTTTTATGATCATGAATTATATTTATACAATATTCAAGATTTTGATAGATTTTGAATTTTCGCATTATTTCTCGCAACTTTTGTTTCGCCACATGCAATTTCTGGCGTTTGAATCGAGTTAATCTTCTCGTTTTATGGAGTGGATTTACGCGAGATTTCATTGAAGTCGCTTTCATGACTGATTCAGAATTTAGTATGAAGTATCGGTTAGAATTTTTCCGAACATCTACACAATTTACTATAACGTTTAACGTTTTGATAGTACATGCTGTTTTTTCGCAATGCTGTTGCTCGCACTATTTTTCGTTTCGCCGCGTTCATTTTCTGGCGATCGAAACGAGATCTCAAGACTGATTCAGAACTCGGTGGTATGGAGTGCCGATGAAGAGTTTTATGAATCTGTACACGATGTACTATATTAATACAACGCTTAACGTTTTGTATTTGATAGCCCATGCTGTATTCTCGCAATGCTGCTGCTCGCAATATGTTTCGTATCGCCGCGTTCATTTTCTGGCGATCGAAACGAGATCTCAAGACTGATTCAGAACTCGGTGGTATGGAGTGCCGATGAAGAGTTTTATGAATCTGTACACGATGTACTATATTAATACAACGCATAACGTTTTGATAGTCCATGCTGTATTCTCGCAATTCTGCTGCTCGCAACATGTTTCGTTTCGCCGCGTTCATTTTCTGGCGATCGAAACGAGATCTCAAGACTGATTCAGAACTCGGTGGTATGGAGTGCCGATGAAGAGTTTTATAAATCTGTACACGATGTACTATATTAATACAACGCTTAACGTTTTGATAGCCCATGCTGTATTCTCGCAATGCTGCTGCTCGCAACATGTTTCGTTTCGCCGCGTTCATTTTCTGGCGATCGAAACCAGATCTCAAGACTGATTCAGAACTCGGTGGTATGGAGTGCCGATGAAGAGTTTTATGAATCTGTACACGATGTACTATATTAATACAACGCTTAACGTTTTGTATTTGATAGTTTTGTATTTGATAGCCCATGCTGTATTCTCGCAATGCTGCTGCTCGCAACATGTTTCGTTTCGCCGCGTTCATTTTCTGGCGATCGAAACGAGATCTCAAGACTGATTCAGAACTCGGTGGTATGGAGTGCCGATGAAGAGTTTTATGAATCTGTACACGATGTACTATATTAATACAACGCTTAACGTTTTGATAGCCCATGCTGTATTCTCGCAATGCTGCTGCTCGCAACATGTTTCGTTTCGCCGCGTTCATTTTCTGGCGATCGAAACGAGATCTCAAGACTGATTCTGAACTCGGTGGTATGGAGTGCCGATGAAGAGTTTTATGAATCTGTACACTATGTACTATATTAATACAACGCTTAACGTTTTGATAGCCCATGCTGTTTCTCGCATGCCCATGCTGTATTCTCGCAATGCTGCTGCTCGCAACATGTTTCGTTTCGCCGCGTTCATTTTCTGGCGATCGAAACGAGATCTCAAGACTGATTCTGAACTCGGTGGTATGGAGTGCCGATGAAGAGTTTTATGAATCTGTACACGATGTACTATATTAATACAACGCTTAACGTTTTGATAGCCCATGCTGTATTCTCGCAATGCTGCTGCTCGCAAGATGTTTCGTTTCGCCGCGTTCAGATGAAGAGTTTTATGATCTGTACACGATGTACTATATTAATACAACGCTTAACGTTTTGATAGCCCATGCTGTATTCTCGCAATGCTGCTGCTCGCAACATGTTTCGTTTCGCCGCGTTCATTTTCTGGCGATCGAAACGAGATCTCAAGACTGATTCAGAACTCGGTGGTATGGAGTGCCGATGAAGAGTTTTATGAATCTGTACACGATGTACTATATTAATACAACGCTTAACGTTTTGTATTTGATAGCCCATGCTGTATTCTCGCAATGCTGCTGCTCGCAACATGTTTCGTTTCGCCGCGTTCATTTTCTGGCGATCGAAACGAGATCTCAAGACGGATTCAGAACTCGGTGGTATGGAGTGCCGATGAAGAGTTTTATAAATCTGTACACGATGTACTATATTAATACAACGCTTAACGTTTTGATAGCCCATGCTGTATTCTCGCAATGCTGCTGCTCGCAACATGTTTCGTTTCGCCGCGTTCATTTTCTGGCGATCGAAACGCGATCTCAAGACTGATTCAGAACTCGGTGGTATGGAGTGCCGATGAAGAGTTTTATGAATCTGTACACGATGTACTATTAATACAACGCTTAACGTTTTGATAGCCCATGCTGTATTCTCGCAATGCTGCTGCTCGCAACATGTTTCGTTTCGCCGCGTTCATTTTCTGGCGATCGAAACGAGATCTCAAGACTGATTCAGAACTCGGTGGTATGGAGTGCCGATGAAGAGTTTTATGAATCTGTACACGATGTACTATATTAATACAACGCTTAACGTTTTGATAGCCCATGCTGTATTCTCGCAATGCTGCTGCTCGCAACATGTTTCGTTTCGCCGCGTTCATTTTCTGGCGATCGAAACGAGATCTCAAGACTGATTCAGAACTCGGTGGTATGGAGTGCCGATGAAGAGTTTTATGAATCTGTACACGATGTACTATATTAATACAACGCTTAACGTTTGTTTTGATAGCCCATGCTGTATTCTCGCAATGCTGCTGCTCGCAACATGTTTCGTTTCGCCGCGTTCATTTTCTGGCGATCGAAACGAGATCTCAAGACTGATTCAGAACTCGGTGGTATGGAGTGCCGATGAAGAGTTTTATGAATCTGTACACGATGTACTATATTAATACAACGCATAACGTTTTGATAGTCCATGCTGTATTCTCGCAATTCTGCTGCTCGCAACATGTTTCGTTTCGCCGCGTTCATTTTCTGGCGATCGAAACGAGATCTCAAGACTGATTCAGAACTCGATGGTATGGAGTGCCGATGAAGAGTTTTATAAATCTGTACACGATGTACTATATTAATACAACGCTTAACGTTTTGATAGCCCATGCTGTATTCTCGCAATGCTGCTGCTCGCAACATGTTTCGTTTCGCCGCGTTCATTTTCTGGCGATCGAAACGAGATCTCAAGACTGATGATCAGAACTCGGTGGTATGGAGTGCCGATGAAGAGTTTTATGAATCTGTACACGATGTACTATATTAATACAACGCTTAACGTTTTGATAGCCCATGCTGTATTCTCGCAATGCTGCTGCTCGCAACATGTTTCGTTTCGCCGCGTTCATTTTCTGGCGATCGAAACCAGATCTCAAGACTGATTCAGAACTCGGTGGTATGGAGTGCCGATGAAGAGTTTTATGAATCTGTACACGATGTACTATAAATACAACGCTTAACGTTTTGATAGCCCATGCTGTATTCTCGCAATGCTGCTGCTCGCAACATGTTTCGTTTCGCCGCGTTCATTTTCTGGCGATCGAAACGAGATCTCAAGACTGATTCTGAACTCGGTGGTATGGAGTGCCGATGAAGAGTTTTATGAATCTGTACGCGATGTACTATATTAATACAACGCTTAACGTTTTGATAGCCCATGCTGTATTCTCGCAATGCTGCTGCTCGCAACATGTTTCGTTTCGCCGCGTTCATTTTCTGGCGATCGAAACGAGATCTCAAGACTGATTCAGAACTCGGTGGTATGGAGTGCCGATGAAGAGTTTTATGAATCTGTACACGATGTACTATATTAATACAACGCTTAACGTTTGATAGCCCATGCTGTATTCTCGCAATGCTGCTGCTGGCAACATGTTTCGTTTCGCCGCGTTCATTTTCTGGCGATCGAAACGAGATCTCAAGACTGATTCAGAACTCGGTGGTATGGAGTGCCGATGAAGAGTTTTATGAATCTGTACACGATGTACTATATTAATACAACGCTTAACGTTTTGATAGCCCATGCTGTATTCTCGCAATGCTGCTGCTCGCAACATGTTTCGTTTCGCCGCGTTCATTTTCTGGCGATCGAAACGAGATCTCAAGACTGATTCAGAACTCGGTGGTATGGAGTGCCGATGAAGAGTTTTATGAATCTGTACACGATGTACTATATTAATACAACGCTTAACGTTTTGTATTGATAGCATGCTGTTCTCGCAATGCTGCTGCTCGCAACATGTTTCGTTTCGCCGCGTTCATTTTCTGGCGATCGAAACGAGATCTCAAGACTGATTCAGAACTCGGTGGTATGGAGTGCCGATGAAGAGTTTTATGAATCTGTACACGATGTACTATATTAATACAACGCATAACGTTTTGATAGTCCATGCTGTATTCTCGCAATTCTGCTGCTCGCAACATGTTTCGTTTCGCCGCGTTCATTTTCTGGCGATCGAAACGAGATCTCAAGACTGATTCAGAACTCGGTGGTATGGAGTGCCGATGAAGAGTTTTATAAATCTGTACACGATGTACTATATTAATACAACGCTTAACGTTTTGATAGCCCATGCTGTATTCTCGCAATGCTGCTGCTCGCAACATGTTTCGTTTCGCCGCGTTCATTTTCTGGCGATCGAAACGAGATCTCAAGACTGATTCAGAACTCGGTGGTATGGAGTGCCGATGAAGAGTTTTATGAATCTGTACACGATGTACTATATTAATACAACGCTTAACGTTTTGATAGCCCATGCTGTATTCTCGCAATGCTGCTGCTCGCAACATGTTTCGTTTCGCCGCGTTCATTTTCTGGCGATCGAAACCAGATCTCAAGACTGATTCAGAACTCGGTGGTATGGAGTGCCGATGAAGAGTTTTATGAATCTGTACACGATGTACTATATTAATACAACGCTTAACGTTTTGATAGCCCATGCTGTATTCTCGCAATGCTGCTGCTCGCAACATGTTTCGTTTCGCCGCGTTCATTTTCTGGCGATCGAAACGAGATCTCAAGACTGATTCAGAACTCGGTGGTATGGAGTGCCGATGAAGAGTTTTATGAATCTGTACACAGATGTACTATATTAATACAACGCTTAACGTTTTGATAGCCCATGCTGTATTCTCGCAATGCTGCTGCTCGCAACATGTTTCGTTTCGCCGCGTTCATTTTCTGGCGATCGAAACGAGATCTCAAGACTGATTCAGAACTCGGTGGTATGGAGTGCCGATGAAGAGTTTTATGAATCTGTACACGATGTACTATATTAATACAACGCTTAACGTTTTGTATTTGATAGTTTTGTATTTGATAGCCCATGCTGTATTCTCGCAATGCTGCTGCTCGCAACATGTTTCGTTTCGCCGCGTTCATTTTCTGGCGATCGAAACGAGGTCTCAAGACGGATTCAGAACTCGGTGGTATGGAGTGCCGATGAAGAGTTTTATGAATCTGTACACGATGTACTATATTAATACAACGCTTAACGTTTTGATAGCCCATGCTGTATTCTCGCAATGCTGCTGCTCGCAACATGTTTCGTTTCGCCGCGTTCATTTTCTGGCGATCGAAACGAGATCTCAAGACTGATTCAGAACTCGGTGGTATGGAGTGCCGATGAAGAGTTTTATAAATCTGTACACGATGAACTATATTAATACAACGCTTAACGTTTTGATAGCCCATGCTGTATTCTCGCAATGCTGCTGCTCGCAACATGTTTCGTTTCGCCGCGTTCATTTTCTGGCGATCGAAACGAGATCTCAAGACTGATTCAGAACTCGGTGGTATGGAGTGCCGATGAAGAGTTTTATGAATCTGTACACGATGTACTATATTAATACAACGCTTAACGTTTTGATAGCCCATGCTGTATTCTCGCAATGTTTCGTTTCGCCGCGTTCATTTTCTGGCGATCGAAACGAGATCTCAAGACTGATGGTATGGAGTGCCGATGAAGAGTTTTATGAATCTGTACACGATGTACTATATTAATACAACGCTTAACGTTTTGATAGCCCATGCTGTATTCTCGCAATGCTGCTGCTCGCAACATGTTTCGTTTCGCCGCGTTCATTTTCTGGCGATCGAAACGAGATCTCAAGACTGATTCAGAACTCGGTGGTATGGAGTGCCGATGAAGAGTTTTATGAATCTGTACACGATGTACTATATTAATACAACGCTTAACGTTTTGTATTTGATAGTTTTGTATTTGATAGCCCATGCTGTATTCTCGCAATGCTGCTGCTCGCAACATGTTTCGTTTCGCCGCGTTCATTTTCTGGCGATCGAAACGAGATCTCAAGACTGATTCAGAACTCGGTGGTATGGAGTGCCGATGAAGAGTTTTATGAATCTGTACACGATGTACTATATTAATACAACGCTTAACGTTTTGATACCATGCTGTATTCTCGCAATGCTGCTGCTCGCAACATGTTTCGTTTCGCCGCGTTCATTTTCTGGCGATCGAAACGAGATCTCAAGACTGATTCAGAACTCGGTATATGGAGTGCCGATGAAGAGTTTTATGAATCTGTACACGATGTACTATATTAATACAACGCTTAACGTTTTGATAGCCCATGCTGTATTCTCGCAATGCTGCTGCTCGCAACATGTTTCGTTTCGCCGCGTTCATTTTCTGGCGATCGAAACGAGATCTCAAGACTGATTCAGAACTCGGTGGTATGGAGTGCCGATGAAGAGTTTTATGAATCTGTACACGATGTACTATATTAATACAACGCTTAACGTTTGTATTTGATAGCCCATGCTGTATTCTCGCAATGCTGCTGCTCGCAACATGTTTCGTTTCGCCGCGTTCATTTTCTGGCGATCGAAACGAGATCTCAAGACTGATTCAGAACTCGGTGGTATAGTGCCGATGAAGAGTTTTATGAATCTGTACACGATGTACTATATTAATACAACGCTTAACGTTTTGATAGCCATGCTGTATTCTCGCAATTCTGCTGCTCGCAACATGTTTCGTTTCGCCGCGTTCATTTTCTGGCGATCGAAACGAGATCTCAAGACTGATTCAGAACTCGGTGGTATGGAGTGCCGATGAAGAGTTTTATGAATCTGTACACGATGTACTATATTAATACAACGCTTAACGTTTTGATAGCCCATGCTGTATTCTCGCAATGCTGCTGCTCGCAACATGTTTCGTTTCGCCGCGTTCATTTTCTGGCGATCGAAACGAGATCTCAAGACTGATTCAGAACTCGGTGGTATGGAGTGCCGATGAAGAGTTTTATGAATCTGTACACGATGTACTATATTATATAACATACAAAACTTAACGTTTTGATAGCCCATGCTGTATTCTCGCAATGCTGCTGCTCGCAACATGTTTCGTTTCGCCGCGTTCATTTTCTGGCGATCGAAACGAGATCTCAAGACTGATTCAGAACTCGGTGGTATGGAGTGCCGATGAAGAGTTTTATGAATCTGTACACGATGTACTATATTAATACAACGCTTAACGTTTTGATAGCCCATGCTGTATTCTCGCAATGCTGCTGCTCGCAACATGTTTCGTTTCGCCGCGTTCATTTTCTGGCGATCGAAACGAGATCTCAAGACTGATTCAGAACTCGGTGGTATGGAGTGCCGATGAAGAGTTTTATGAATCTGTACACGATGTACTATATTAATACAACGCTTAACGTTTTGATAGCCCATGCTGTATTCTCGCAATGCTGCTGCTCGCAACATGTTTCGTTTCGCCGCGTTCATTTTCTGGCGATCGAAACGAGATCTCAAGACTGATTCAGAACTCGGTGGTATGGAGTGCCGATGAAGAGTTTTATGAATCTGTACACGATGTACTATATTAATACAACGCTTAACGTTTTGATAGCCCATGCTGTATTCTCGCAATGCTGCTGCTCGCCTGTTGGCCGCGTTCATTTTCTGGCGATCGAAACGAGATCTCAAGACTGATGGTGTGGAGTGCCGATGAAGAGTTTTATGAATCTGTACACGATGTACTATATTAATACAACGCTTAACGTTTTGATAGCCCATGCTGTATTCTCGCAATGCTGCTGCTCGCAACATGTTTCGTTTCGCCGCGTTCATTTTCTGGCGATCGAAACGAGATCTCAAGACTGATTCAGAACTCGGTGGTATGGAGTGCCGATGAAGAGTTTTATGAATCTGTACACGATGTACTATATTAATACAACGCTTAACGTTTTGATAGCCCATGCTGTATTCTCGCAATGCTGCTGCTCGCAACATGTTTCGTTTCGCCGCGTTCATTTTCTGGCGATCGAAACGAGATCTCAAGACTGATTCAGAACTCGGTGGTATGGAGTGCCGATGAAGAGTTTTATGAATCTGTACACGATGTACTATATTAATACAACGCTTAACGTTTTGATAGCCCATGCTGTATTCTCGCAATGCTGCGTTTCGTCGCCGCGTTTCATTTCTTTCTGGCGATCGAAACGAGATCTCAAGACTGATTCAGAACTGGTGGTCCGATGAAGAGTTTTATGAATCTGTACACGATGTACTATATTAATACAACGCTTAACGTTTTGATAGCCCATGCTGTATTCTCGCAATGCTGCTGCTCGCAACATGTTTCGTTTCGCCGCGTTCATTTCATTTTCGATCGAAACGAGATCTCAAGACTGATTCAGAACTCGGTGGTATGGAGTGCCGATGAAGAGTTTTATGAATCTGTACACGATGTACTATATTAATACAACGCTTAACGTTTTGATAGTTTTGTATTTGATAGCCCATGCTGTATTCTCGCAATGCTGCTGCTCGCAACATGTTTCGTTTCGCGCGCGTTCATTTTCTGGCGATCGAAACGAGATCTCAAGACTGATTCAGAACTCGGTGGTATGGAGTGCCGATGAAGAGTTTTATGAATCTGTACACGATGTACTATATTAATACAACGCTTAACGTTTTGATAGCCCATGCTGTATTCTCGCAATGCTGCTGCTCGCAACATGTTTCGTTTCGCCGCGTTCATTTTCTGGCGATCGAAACGAGATCTCAAGACTGATTCAGAACTCGGTGGTATGGAGTGCCGATGAAGAGTTTTATGAATCTGTACACGATGTACTATATTAATACAACGCTTAACGTTTTGATAGCCCATGCTGTATTCTCGCAATGCTGCTGCTCGCAACATGTTTCGTTTCGCCGCGTTCATTTTCTGGCGATCGAAACGAGATCTCAAGACTGATTCAGAACTCGGTGGTATGGAGTGCCGATGAAGAGTTTTATGAATCTGTACACGATGTACTATATTAATACAACGCTTAACGTTTTGATAGCCCATGCTGTATTCTCGCAATGCTGCTGCTCGCAACATGTTTCGTTTCGCCGCGTTCATTTTCTGGCGATCGAAACGAGATCTCAAGACTGATTCAGAACTCGGTGGTATGGAGTGCCGATGAAGAGTTTTATGAATCTGTACACGATGTACTATATTAATACAACGCTTAACGTTTTGATAGCCCATGCTGTATTCTCGCAATGCTGCTGCTCGCAACATGTTTCGTTTCGCCGCGTTCATTTTCTGGCGATCGAAACGAGATCTCAAGACTGATTCAGAACTCGGTGGTATGGAGTGCCGATGAAGAGTTTTATGAATCTGTACACGATGTACTATATTAATACAACGCTTAACGTTTTGGATAGCCCATGCTGTATTCTCGCAATGCTGCTGCTCGCAACATGTTTCGTTTCGCCGCGCGTTCATTTTCTGGCGATCGAAACGAGATCTCAAGACTGATTCAGAACTCGGTGGTATGGAGTGCCGATGAAGAGTTTTATGAATCTGTACACGATGTACTATATTAATACAACGCTTAACGTTTTGATAGCCCATGCTGTATTCTCGCAATGCTGCTGCTCGCAACATGTTTCGTTTCGCCGCGTTCATTTTCTGGCGATCGAAACGAGATCTCAAGACTGATTCAGAACTCGGTGGTATGGAGTGCCGATGAAGAGTTTTATGAATCTGTACACGATGTACTATATTAATACAACGCTTAACGTTTTGATAGCCCATGCTGTATTCTCGCAATGCTGCTGCTCGCAACATGTTTCGTTTCGCCGCGTTCATTTTCTGGCGATCGAAACGAGATCTCAAGACTGATTCAGAACTCGGTGGTATGGAGTGCCGATGAAGAGTTTTATGAATCTGTACACGATGTACTATATTAATACAACGCTTAACGTTTTGATAGCCCATGCTGTATTCTCGCAATGCTGCTGCTCGCAACATGTTTCGTTTCGCCGCGTTCATTTTCTGGCGATCGAAACGAGATCTCAAGACTGATTCAGAACTCGGTGGTATGGAGTGCCGATGAAGAGTTTTATGAATCTGTACACGATGTACTATATTAATACAACGCTTAACGTTTTGTATTTGATAGTTTTGTATTTGATAGCCCATGCTGTATTCTCGCAATGCTGCTGCTCGCAACATGTTTCGTTTCGCCGCGTTCATTTTCTGGCGATCGAAACGAGATCTCAAGACTGATTCAGAACTCGGTGGTATGGAGTGCCGATGAAGAGTTTTATGAATCTGTACACGATGTACTATATTAATACAACGCTTAACGTTTTGATAGCCCATGCTGTATTCTCGCAATGCTGCTGCTCGCAACATGTTTCGTTTCGCCGCGTTCATTTTCTGGCGATCGAAACGAGATCTCAAGACTGATTCAGAACTCGGTGGTATGGAGTGCCGATGAAGAGTTTTATAAATCTGTACACGATGAACTATATTAATACAACGCTTAACGTTTTGATAGCCCATGCTGTATTCTCGCAATGCTGCTGCTCGCAACATGTTTCGTTTCGCGCGCGTTCATTTTCTGGCGATCGAAACGAGATCTCAAGACTGATTCAGAACTCGGTGGTATGGAGTGCCGATGAAGAGTTTTATGAATCTGTACACGATGTACTATATTAATACAACGCTTAACGTTTTGATAGCCCATGCTGTATTCTCGCAATGTTGCTCGTTTCGTCGCCGCGTTCATTTTCTGGCGATCGAAACGAGATCTCAAGACTGATGGTATGGAGTGCCGATGAAGAGTTTTATGAATCTGTACACGATGTACTATATTAATACAACGCTTAACGTTTTGATAGCCCATGCTGTATTCTCGCAATGCTGCTGCTCGCAACATGTTTCGTTTCGCGCCGCGTTCATTTTCTGGCGATCGAAACGAGATCTCAAGACTGATTCAGAACTCGGTGGTATGGAGTGCCGATGAAGAGTTTTATGAATCTGTACACGATGTACTATATTAATACAACGCTTAACGTTTTGATAGCCCATGCTGTATTCTCGCAATGCTGCTGCTCGCAACATGTTTCGTTTCGCCGCGTTCATTTTCTGGCGATCGAAACGAGATCTCAAGACTGATTCAGAACTCGGTGGTATGGAGTGCCGATGAAGAGTTTTATGAATCTGTACACGATGTACTATATTAATACAACGCTTAACGTTTTGATAGCCCATGCTGTATTCTCGCAATGCTGCTGCTCGCAACATGTTTCGTTTCGCCGCGTTCATTTTCTGGCGATCGAAACGAGATCTCAAGACTGATTCAGAACTCGGTGGTATGGAGTGCCGATGAAGAGTTTTATGAATCTGTACACGATGTACTATATTAATACAACGCTTAACGTTTTGATAGCCCATGCTGTATTCTCGCAATGCTGCTGCTCGCAACATGTTTCGTTTCGCCGCGTTCATTTTCTGGCGATCGAAACGAGATCTCAAGACTGATTCAGAACTCGGTGGTATGGAGTGCCGATGAAGAGTTTTATGAATCTGTACACGATGTACTATATTAATACAACGCTTAACGTTTTGTATTTGAGTTTATCCCATGCTGTATTCTCGCAATGCTGCTGCTCGCAACATGTTTCGTTTCGCCGCGTTCATTTTCTGGCGATCGAAACGAGATCTCAAGACTGATTCAGAACTCGGTGGTATGGAGTGCCGATGAAGAGTTTTATGAATCTGTACACGATGTACTATATTAATACAACGCTTAACGTTTTGATAGCCCATGCTGTATTCTCGCAATGCTGCTGCTCGCAACATGTTTCGTTTCGCCGCGTTCATTTTCTGGCGATCGAAACGAGATCTCAAGACTGATTCAGAACTCGGTGGTATGGAGTGCCGATGAAGAGTTTTATGAATCTGTACACGATGTACTATATTAATACAACGCTTAACGTTTTGATAGCCCATGCTGTATTCTCGCAATGCTGCTGCTCGCAACATGTTTCGTTTCGCCGCGTTCATTTTCTGGCGATCGAAACGAGATCTCAAGACTGATTCAGAACTCGGTGGTATGGAGTGCCGATGAAGAGTTTTATGAATCTGTACACGATGTACTATATTAATACAACGCTTAACGTTTTGATAGCCCATGCTGTATTCTCGCAATGCTGCTGCTCGCAACATGTTTCGTTTCGCCGCGTTCATTTTCTGGCGATCGAAACGAGATCTCAAGACTGATTCAGAACTCGGTGGTATGGAGTGCCGATGAAGAGTTTTATGAATCTGTACACGATGTACTATATTAATACAACGCTTAACGTTTTGATGATATTTTGTATATGCCCGTTATTCTCGCAATGCTGCTGCTCGCAACATGTTTCGTTTCGCCGCGTTCATTTTCTGGCGATCGAAACGAGATCTCAAGACTGATTCAGAACTCGGTGGTATGGAGTGCCGATGAAGAGTTTTATGAATCTGTACACGATGTACTATATTAATACAACGCTTAACGTTTTGATAGCCCATGCTGTATTCTCGCAATGCTGCTGCTCGCAACATGTTTCGTTTCGCCGCGTTCATTTTCTGGCGATCGAAACGAGATCTCAAGACTGATTCAGAACTCGGTGGTATGGAGTGCCGATGAAGAGTTTTATGAATCTGTACACGATGTACTATATTAATACAACGCTTAACGTTTTGATAGCCCATGCTGTATTCTCGCAATGCTGCTGCTCGCAACATGTTTCGTTTCGCGCGCGTTCATTTTCTGGCGATCGAAACGAGATCTCAAGACTGATTCAGAACTCGGTGGTATGGAGTGCCGATGAAGAGTTTTATGAATCTGTACACGATGTACTATATTAATACAACGCTTAACGTTTTGATAGCCCATGCTGTATTCTCGCAATGCTGCTGCTCGCAACATGTTTCGTTTCGCCGCGTTCATTTTCTGGCGATCGAAACGAGATCTCAAGACTGATTCAGAACTCGGTGGTATGGAGTGCCGATGAAGAGTTTTATGAATCTGTACACGATGTACTATATTAATACAACGCTTAACGTTTTGATAGCCCATGCTGTATTCTCGCAATGCTGCTGCTCGCAACATGTTTCGTTTCGCCGCGTTCATTTTCTGGCGATCGAAACGAGATCTCAAGACTGATTCAGAACTCGGTGGTATGGAGTGCCGATGAAGAGTTTTATGAATCTGTACACGATGTACTATATTAATACAACGCTTAACGTTTTGATTTGATAGTTTTGTATTTGATAGCCCATGCTGTATTCTCGCAATGCTGCTGCTCGCAACATGTTTCGTTTCGCCGCGTTCATTTTCTGGCGATCGAAACGAGATCTCAAGACTGATTCAGAACTCGGTGGTATGGAGTGCCGATGAAGAGTTTTATGAATCTGTACACGATGTACTATATTAATACAACGCTTAACGTTTTGATAGCCCATGCTGTATTCTCGCAATGCTGCTGCTCGCAACATGTTTCGTTTCGCCGCGTTCATTTTCTGGCGATCGAAACGAGATCTCAAGACTGATTCAGAACTCGGTGGTATGGAGTGCCGATGAAGAGTTTTATGAATCTGTACACGATGTACTATATTAATACAACGCTTAACGTTTTGATAGCCCATGCTGTATTCTCGCAATGCTGCTGCTCGCAACATGTTTCGTTTCGCCGCGTTCATTTTCTGGCGATCGAAACGAGATCTCAAGACTGATTCAGAACTCGGTGGTATGGAGTGCCGATGAAGAGTTTTATGAATCTGTACACGATGTACTATATTAATACAACGCTTAACGTTTTGATAGCCCATGCTGTATTCTCGCAATGCTGCTGTACACGATGTACTATATTAATACAACGCTTAACGTTTTGATAGCCCATGCTGTATTCTCGCAATGCTGCTGCTCGCAACATGTTTCGTTTCGCCGCGTTCATTTTCTGGCGATCGAAACGAGATCTCAAGACTGATTCAGAACTCGGTGGTATGGAGTGCCGATGAAGAGTTTTATAGATCTGTACACGATGTACTATATTAATACAACGCTTAACGTTTTGATAGCCCATGCTGTATTCTCGCAATGCTGCTGCTCGCAACATGTTTCGTTTCGCCGCGTTCATTTTCTGGCGATCGAAACAGATCTCAAGACTGATTCAGAACTCGGTTGTATGGAGTGCCGATGAAGAGTTTTTTATGAATCTGTACACGATGTACTATATTAATACAACGCTTAACGTTTTGATAGCCCATGCTGTATTCTCGCAATGCTGCTGCTCGCAACATTTTCGTTTCGCCGCGTTCATTTTCTGGCGATCGAAACGAGATCTCAGACTGATTCAGAACTCGGTGGTATGGAGTGCCGATGAAGAGTTTTATGAATCTGTACACGATGTACTATATTAATACAACGCTTACCGTTTTGATAGCCCATGCTGTATTCTCGCAATGCTGCTGCTCGCAACATGTTTCGTTTCGCCGCGTTCATTTTCTGGCGATCGATACTATATTAATACAACGCTTAACGTTTTGATAGCCCATGCTGTATTCTCGCAAGCTGCTGCTCGCACATGTTTCGTTTCGCCGCGTTCATTTTCTGGCGATCGAAAGAGATCTCAAGACTGATTCAGAACTCGGTGGTATGGAGTGCCGATGAAGAGTTTTATTGAATCTGTACACGATGTACTATATTAATACAACGCTTAACGCTTTGATAGCCATGCTGTATTCTCGCAATGCTGCTGCTCGCAACATGTTTCGTTTCGCCGCGTTCATTTTCTGGCGATCGAAACGAGATCTCAAGACTGATTCAGAACTCGGTGGTATGGAGTGCGATGAAGAGTTTTATGAATCTGTACACGATGTACTATATTAATACAACGCTTAACGTTTTGTATTTGATAGTTTTGTATTTGATAGCCCATGCTGTATTCTCGCATGCTGCTGCTCGCAACATGTTTCGTTTCGCCGCGTTCATTTTCTGGCGATCGAAACGAGATGTCAAGACTGATTCAGAACTCGGTGGTATGGAGTGCCGATAAAGAGTTTTATGAATCTGTACACGATGTACTATATTAATACAACGCTTAACGTTTTGATAGCCCATGCTGTATTCTCGCAATGCTGCTGCTCGCAACATGCTTCGTTTCGCCGCGTTCATTTTCTGGCGATCGAAACGAGATCTCAAGACTGATTCAGAACTCGGTGGTATGGAGTGCCGATGAAGAGTTTTATGAATATGACACGATGTACTATATTAATACAACGCTTAACGTTTTGTATTTGATAGTTTTGTATTTGATAGCCCATGCTGTATTCTCGCAATGCTGCTGCTCGCAACATGTTCGTTTCGCCGCGTTCATTTTCTGGCAATCGAAACGAGATCTCAAGACTGATTCAGAACTCGGTGGTATGGAGTGCCGATGAAGAGTTTTATGAATCTGTACACTATGTACTATATTAATACAACGCTTAACGTTTTGATAGCCCATGCTGTATTCTCGCAATGCTGCTGCTCGCAACATGTTTCGTTTCGCCGCGTTCATTTTCTGGCGATCGAAACGAGATCTCAAGACTGATTCAGAACTCGGTGGTATGGAGTGCCGATGAAGAGTTTTATGAATCTGTACACGATGTACTATATTAATACAACGCTTAACGTTTTGATAGCCCATGCTGTATTCTCGCAATGCTGCTGCTCGCAACATGTTTCGTTTCGCCGCGTTCATTTTCTGGCGATCGAAACGAGATCTCAAGACTGATTCAGAACTCGGTGGTATGGAGTGCCGATGAAGAGTTTTATGAATCTGTACACTATGTACTATATTATACAACGCTTAACGTTTTGATAGCCCATGCTGTATTCTCGCAATGCTGCTGCTCGCAACATGTTTCGTTTCGCCGCGTTCATTTTCTGGCGATCGAAACGAGATTCAAGACTGATAAGAATAAACTCGGTGGTATGGAGTGCCGATGAAGAGTTTTATGAATCTGTACACGATGTACTATATTAATACAACGCTTAACGTTTTGTATTTGATAGTTTTGTATTTGATAGCCCATGCTGTATTCTCGCAATGCTGCTGCTCGCAACATGTTTCGTTTCGCCGCGTTCATTTTCTGGCGATCGAAACGAGATCTCAAGACGGATTCAGAACTCGGTGGTATGGAGTGCCGATGAAGAGTTTTATGAATCTGTACACGGTACTATATAATACAACGCTTAACGTTTTGATAGCCCATGCTGTATTCTCGCAATGCTGCTGCTCGCAACATGTTTCGTTTCGCCGCGTTCATTTTCTGGCGATCGAAACGAGATCTCAAGACTGATTCAGAAACTGGTGGTATGGAGTGCCGATGAAGAGTTTTATGAATCTGTACACGATGTACTATATTAATACAACGCTTAACGTTTTGATAGCCCATGCTGTATTCTCGCAATGCTGTGCTCGCAACATGTTTCGTTTCGCCGCGTTCATTTTCTGGCGTTCGAAACGAGATCTCAAGACTGATTCAGAACTCGGTGGTATGGAGTGCCGATGAAGAGTTTTATGAATCTGTACACGATGTACTATATTAATACAACGCTTAACGTTTTGATAGTCCATGCTGTATTCTCGCAATGCTGCTGCTCGCAACATGTTTCGTTTCGCCGCGTTCATTTTCTGGCGATCGAAACGAGATCTCAAGACTGATTCAGAACTCGGTGGTATGGAGTGCCAATGAAGAGTTTTATAAATCTGTACACGATGTACTATATTAATACAACGCTTAACGTTTTGATAGCCCATGCTGTATTCTCGCAATGCTGCTGCTCGCAACATGTTTCGTTTCGCCGTGTTCATTTTCTGCCGATCGAAACGAGATCTCAAGACTGATTCAGAACTCGGTGGTATGGAGTGCCGATGAAGAGTTTTATGAATCTGTACACGATGTACTATATTAATACAACGCTTAACGTTTTGATAGCCCATGCTGTATTCTCGCAATGCTGCTGCTCGCAACATGTTTCGTTTCGCCGCGTTCATTTTCTGGCGATCGAAACGAGATCTCAAGACTGATTCAGAACTCGGTGGTATGGAGTGCCGATGAAGAGTTTTATGAATCTGTACACGATGTACTATATTAATACAACGCTTAACGTTTTGATATCCATGCTGTATTCTCGCAATGCTGCTGCTCGCAACATGTTTCGTTTCGCCGCGTTCATTTTCTGGCGATCGAAACGAGATCTCAAGACTGATTCAGAACTCGGTGGTATGGAGTGCCGATGAAAAGTTTTATGAATCTGTACACGATGTACTATATTAATACAACGCTTAACGTTTTGATAGCCCATGCTGTATTCTCGCAATGCTGCTGCTCGCAACATGTTTCGTTTCGCCGCGTTCATTTTCTGGCGATCGAAACCAGATCTCAAGACTGATTCAGAACTCGGTGGTATGGAGTGCCGATGAAGAGTTTTATGAATCTGTACACGATGTACTATATTAATACAACGCTTAACGTTTTGTATTTGATAGCCCATGCTGTATTCTCGCAATGCTGCTGCTCGCAACATGTTTCGTTTCGCCGCGTTCATTTTCTGGCGATCGAAACGAGATCTCAAGACTGATTCAGAACTCGGTGGTATGGAGTGCCGATGAAGAGTTTTATGAATCTGTACACGATGTACTATATTAATACAACGCTTAACGTTTTGTATTTGATAGTTTTGTATTTGATAGCCCATGCTGTATTCTCGCAATGCTGCTGCTCGCAACATGTTTCGTTTCGCCGCGTTCATTTTCTGGCGATCGAAACGAGATCTCAAGACTGATTCAGAACTCGGTGGTATGGAGTGCCGGTGAAGAGTTTTATGAATCTGTACACAATGTACTATATTAAGACAACTTTTAACAATTTGATACTCTTTGATTTTATTGAAGTCACTTTCTGATTGATTCAGAGTATCGGTTAGAATTTTTCTTAGCTTCTACACAATTTTTACTATATTTATACAATGTTCAATACTTTGATGGCTCGTGGAATATTGGAAACTGATGATTTCTAGTGATTTTCGGCATCAGAGTGCAAACTGAGAAGGAATCGGTACGCGACGTTCAATTTGCGATTGTTATTGTTCGGATGAATTTAGATCGTTTCAAAACCGATGCGACCCTTGTTTTATACTATAAACAAGAAATACATTTATGATAACCCGAGTGTTTTTTTTTTCGCCAGGCTGAGATTCGAACGCACGACCTTCCGCGCTATAAAAGTGACTGATTTAACCACAGCACTACGGAGGTCCCCGATAAGAAATGTTGTATTGTAGTTATATAATACACTAGCCATTATACATATTGGATTTTGTAATAACAAATAACAATAGCACTAAATAAATATTATCACTTTTTTCTGAACAGTTTATCCATTCTAAAAATTGAATCTAAATACAATTAATTTTTTTTTCACTGTACGGAGATTCGAACGCACGACCATCCGCTCTACATAAGCGACTGATTCAACCACGACGCTACCAAGGACTATGATAAGAAATAGTATATTGTTGTTATATAGTACGCATTTTCGTAACTATTGACAATAAATTTAATTCATTTATTCACTTTTTTCAGAACAGTTTGTATTTATTTTTTTAACAAAATTGGTATTGATATATTGCT